ACGCGGGGGTGGCTTCGTAAGACATGGATGTAATCTTGGCGGGGTAACTCATACGTTAGAAACCGGAAGACACATTCCAGCCTCTCTAACAAACGCTGCCAACCTTCCGGCATGCACTGTCTGCCTGTTCGCGTCGAACCAACGTATAAGGGTGGTCGGGGGTGGCGACATAATTCTAATTTTATTGCCGAGCCAAGATGCTGCTTGCCGGGCTGCCTCGCGAACGAGACCTCGAATTTATGGACAATTTATCTTATTAATTTTCATAAGTTCGACATGTGAGCCCGCGTTGCGACAAAGCCGCCCTCCTCTACAACCCCCACTACGAGCCGGGTACACGCGGGCTGACGTGCACAGATTTTCCTCGTCTTTTCACGATCTTTGTCATCCATCCCTGCCTGAAACTTATATTAAAACCCAGGACTTAAACTTCGACGATTCCATGGAGGATCGGGGAAGCGCGTAACCGTTTTGTGGCTGTGGTATATCGGGGCTCTTCGACATCGTTACGTGCTGATATACACAGATTTCGGGGTATATTAAAAACTCTCGTATCGAGTGAATTGCTGGAATATACGAGTGTACGCATTGGGGGGCTGGGTCCCTAGAGTCAGCTTAACGATAGAAGGATGGGTAGTAGGTTTGTAGGGTTAGGGAGTTTCTAATGGTTATTCTAGAGACTTTTTTAGTCTAGTTAGTCATTATAGTCTAATAAAGATCTCTAATTTTATAGTGATTTTTACACTTGTTTGGGGTGAAAGGTTTACTGTACTAACAATTCTAGAATTGTGAATTTCTAAAATGGTAATTTTTGAAAATTTAAATTTTTAAATTCTTAAATCTCTAAATCCATAAATCTTTACATCTATAAATTTTCAAGTCCTCAATTTTTTAAGTAGTCAAACTTCCAAATGTATAAAATACTAGATTTCTAAATTTGCAAATCCCCTATTTTTAAAAGATAAAATATCTACATTCTTAAGTGTCTCATTCAATTCCTAAGTTTCAAGTTTTCAGACTGAGTGACTCTTAAACCTCTGTCTCCTCAAAGTCTTTATTAACTTCTAAATTTATTAATATATAAATTTATAAATCTCTGAATCTTCAAATCTTTAAAACCATAAATTCTTAATCCCTACTACACCCTACCCACCTGAATTCTTAAATTTCTAACTATCTACCCGCCTAAATTCCAAAATTCTAAAATTACAAAATACAAAAACCCAAAATCCTAAATCCCAAATACCGAAATTCCAAAATCCCTAATTCTCCAAATCTCCCAATCCCCAAATCCCTAATTGTCCAACTCCCTAATCCCACAAATCCCTAAATCCTCCAAATCCCACAAATCCCAAATCCCAAATCTCCCGAATTCCAAATCTCCCAAATCCCAAATCTCCCAAATCCCAAATCTCCCAAATCCCAAATCTCCCAAATCCCAAATCTCCCAAATCCCAAATCTCCCAAATCCCAAATCTCCCAAATCCCAAATCTCCCAAATCCCAAATCTCCCAAATCCCAAATCTCCCAAATCCCAAATCTCCCAAATCCCAAATCTCCCAAATCCCAAATCTCCCAAATCCCAAATCTCCCAAATCCCAAATCTCCCAAATCCCAAATCTCCCAAATCCCAAATCTCCCAAATCCCAAATCTCCCAAATCCCAAATCTCCCAAATCCCAAATCTCCCAAATCCCAAATCTCCCAAATCCCAAATCTCCCAAATCCCAAATCTCCCAAATCCCAAATCTCCCAAATCCCAAATCTCCCAAATCCCAAATCTCCCAAATCCCAAATCTCCCAAATCCCAAATCTCCCAAATCCCAAATCTCCCAAATCCCAAATCTCCCAAATCCCAAATCTCCCAAATCCCAAATCTCCCAAATCCCAAATCTCCCAAATCCCAAATCTCCCAAATCCCAAATCTCCCAAATCCCAAATCTCCCAAATCCCAAATCTCCCAAATCCCAAATCTCCCAAATCCCAAATCTCCCAAATCCCAAATCTCCCAAATCCCAAATCTCCCAAATCCCAAATCTCCCAAATCCCAAATCTCCCAAATCCCAAATCTCCCAAATCCCAAATCTCCCAAATCCCAAATCTCCCAAATCCCAAATCTCCCAAATCCCAAATCTCCCAAATCCCAAATCTCCCAAATCCCAAATCTCCCAAATCCCAAATCTCCCAAATCCCAAATCTCCCAAATCCCAAATCTCCCAAATCCCAAATCTCCCAAATCCCAAATCTCCCAAATCCCAAATCTCCCAAATCCCAAATCTCCCAAATCCCAAATCTCCCAAATCCCAAATCTCCCAAATCCCAAATCTCCCAAATCCCAAATCTCCCAAATCCCAAATCTCCCAAATCCCAAATCTCCCAAATCCCAAATCTCCCAAATCCCAAATCTCCCAAATCCCAAATCTCCCAAATCCCAAATCTCCCAAATCCCAAATCTCCCAAATCCCAAATCTCCCAAATCCCAAATCTCCCAAATCCCAAATCTCCCAAATCCCAAATCTCCCAAATCCCAAATCTCCCAAATCCCAAATCTCCCAAATCCCAAATCTCCCAAATCCCAAATCTCCCAAATCCCAAATCTCCCAAATCCCAAATCTCCCAAATCCCAAATCTCCCAAATCCCAAATCTCCCAAATCCCAAATCTCCCAAATCCCAAATCTCCCAAATCCCAAATCTCCCAAATCCCAAATCTCCCAAATCCCAAATCTCCCAAATCCCAAATCTCCCAAATCCCAAATCTCCCAAATCCCAAATCTCCCAAATCCCAAATCTCCCAAATCCCAAATCTCCCAAATCCCAAATCTCCCAAATCCCAAATCTCCCAAATCCCAAATCTCCCAAATCCCAAATCTCCCAAATCCCCAAATCCCCAAGTTTTCCCCACATCCCCAAAATTTGAAAGACCCATTTACCCCAAGAAGTATAGTTACATCACGATGTCAATTCCAGGTGACATGCTGGAACAAGCATCCGTGAGATAGAGTTTAACCACGAAAAGACTGGCCAACGTTTGAACTTGACCGTTGCCATTTCAAATGTTCCCGTTTCAACCTTTGATATGCCGCGGTTTCGCGTGTAACCGGAGGCTCTCTGTGCTCCTCTGTCTGTCCGGTTAACGGAATCAAGTATCGTTGAATTAACCGTAAGTGATGAATACATATATGAAAATGCGTTAAATACAAACTGAACTGCGAATTGGAAACTGATATTCTCCGTTTAATCCTGCTTTTATATTTCCTTTTATTTTTACTCTTTGACAGAAATATTTTAATGTACTCGATTTTATCGTTATATAATATAGTCATATTTCATGAACAAAGATTTTAATTCTCGTTATGAAAGGGTGATTGAAATAAATCTTGAAAATAGCGAAATTTTGCAGTGACAAGTTTGAAAAGCATTTTCTCGTAGGACATTTCAAGTTTATTCAATTAACAATTGTAATCTGTAATTAGAATACCTGTCATAAACGACAGTCAACAAAGTTACAGGACGTTAATCAAATACCCGACGAGCAAACTAGTTTCTATCGAGTTTGGAAGTGGAATTGAATTTGAGATAAATTTATGTCAAGTGCAAGTATTTAATGTCTCTTGTGAAATGATTAATTAATATAAAAGTTGACAATTGAAAACATTGAAGCATCTTTTTGATCTGGATAGGGTAAATAAAGGGGGTTGCTCTGTTTTATCGAAGGAATAGGTTTTCCATTGAGAATTGAAGTCCATTCCATCTACAGATGATTCTCTGAAACTTTAGGGAATAGATACATCTTTTATCGAATGCAGGTAATGTACCTTTTGTTGAAATAGTGATTTCTTATTATATTTAGGACATAATGTAATAACTTGTCTTTGACAATTTCGACTTTTCGGAAATCTGTCAAGAATGGTTTTGACGACAAAAAATTTTCACGACTACAATGTTATTCTCTATATTGCCGACGAGACATAGTATAGTGTACTAACTGTTCTGAGCACATAATCAGCATCTTTGGACCCAAAATATATTCCGTAAGCTACATAAAATCAATATTAATAAATACATAATAAATATGTAGCATATTAATTAATAAAATCGATGGTAATTGAATTTAAAAAAAAATCGAACTAGTGGCGCCATCTCTCCGGCGAACGGGGTGAACTACACACTTTTGAAACTGGTGCTTGGTTAGTTCACATATTCTGTCGCTAGATGGCGCCACATGCGACTGAAATCCGTAGGCTAATTATCATTAGCCTAAGAGTCATTAAAAACTGATAATAGTTTAGTAAAGTCAAAACAATTCGTTAATTGATCTTGCATTCCGATGTAATACGACTCATATTATACTTAATGTATATGTATATATACATCCGTGAAAATTCCACAGCGTCCTTGGTCTACTACGCTATGCTACGAAAATCCATGATGTCCTTCCTCAATATAAAAACATTTTTACTTTTCTGCATTCTAAAATTCTCATTGGGTTTTATTACAAATTTCCTGATCGTCCCTTCTGCTTTCGTTCTTTACTGGATTTTTCCAGAACATAAAAATATTATTCCATGCGAAGCGGAAGTGTGTTGTAAACCTTTTACCGTTAGGCCAAATTATACCTGACGGCCTTCACGACTCTATAGTACTATAAACTCAATATAAAGCAATTTTTCTCCTGTTGTTTGTACAATAATTCAAGCGTTCAATTAACATAAAAATACCTTACTTCACAAAACACATTTTTTTTTGTTTCAATAGTTCTATGCTCGCCCACATTCAGACGTGCACCTAATAGAAATTTTAAAATACGTTACGAGTTTTAAAGTTTTCAACCTTTATGAATTAATTACTCTGAATACCGTAATATTTCAGTTATTAAACTTGAAGATAAAATTCAGTAGTAACAAATATTAACTTACCTTTTGCTTCCAAAATCACCCAACCTAAATTGGAATTGACAATGATTCTTTTTAAACAGAATAATTTTGATAGCACACTCGATCTTATATTTCATGTAAATGTTTCTTATATTTGTGACCTTACAATTATTTACAAACACGATTTATTGTAGATCTGTTTTACAAAATATTTGTGTGTGCTTATGAACTGCCTTTTCTTTTATTTTTTACAATGAAAGAAGGTACTAGATATTTACACGTAAGGAATACATTATAAGAATACGTATTATTTAAATAAGAAAAGAAAATCAATGTTTTATTTCTCGAATATTTCTTTAAACTTGATGAAGTTTAAAAAATCTCGTTTTGATGCACACAAAGCTACTACTTTTTCTAAAAAATAATTGTTTTAGATTATAGTGAGCACCTAACGTACATTTCTTTTATACATTCAATTAGAATGAAAATTAATTTCTTAGAAATTTTTAGATTTTTGTCGTACATATAAAAAAGAATTGTTTATTAGAATTTTCGAAGATTTCAGTAACTATCGAGATAAATTACTTAGCCTCCTTCAATTAGCCAAAATAGATAACATTATTTACATAAGCCACTGCACAAAATACGAGTAACTTCCTATAATAATATACTCTTAACAATTAACTATATTCCATAAAGCTTTTCATTAGACTAAAGTAATTGTACTTGTACTCAAAACTGTACAAAAAATTTTATTCACGCGTTCAATTCATTTTGTTCACTCCACATCATAATGGAAGTTAAGATTAATTCATTTATAAAACCTAATCTAAAAATGGTACCCAGCACGTAACAATAAATTATAAGTTCAGTCTCTCTCAATCAAATGTAACAATACGATTTATATAAAAATTTACACGTTTCTTGACGTATATTCGATATGTTACACTGTAAGCTTTATATGTACACGAAATATTTGAAGTTTAATTATAACTAAACTGCAATAGCTCTTTCTTTCACCATATTACAATGTGAAAAGTTTCATCTCCAATCAAGTTTTTCATTGTACCGCAACATAATATTATGTAATAGTGTTATTGAATTTATGTTATGGTACAGAAAGAAAAGTTAAAAAAATATGACATAAACCCTTTCACAATAGTAATATATATAACTTTGATGATTCCTCGCTGCTTTTTGTCCTTGAAATGCTTACTCACACTATATCTCATATTGTGATGATTATTTACAAAATGTTCTTTAAAGGTTAACACAACTACATGTAGGATTGCATCACTGACACACTTTCTTTTCTTACTTATTATTTGATCACTTATCACCTCTAAACTTAATTTAAATATTTATCTACACTAAACAATTGTTTGAGGTAATTATATCATCTTCAGAAATCATATCCTGAAGAGGAATCCCCGGCTTCTGCAAAAAATATTAAACCGTGTTTGAACCAAATGTTCTAAGAACTACTTAACATTATTATACTAAATAATGCTTCAAATAGATACTTACTTCGATGACAATGGTTGAAGCCATATTGTCTGTGTCATGATACTGTACTCCTACATTTGTCGCAGCTGCTATTGCTATAGTACGAACGGTATTGGTGTTGGTCGAGGTTGTGATGTGCTGGGTAATCTTGGAGTTTTCACTTGTTCTACTAGAACCATTACACTCTTATATGCGTAAAATGATAAATGAGATACTGTACTTGCTTCGCAATAAGGAAGATTCTGCTAAAAAAAATATAGACTAAAACTTACTTTCGCTTCTTCACTTGACCAGAATGGAAACGGCCGCCTTCGCCACGAATTCTGTTCATTGCGTGTCGATGACGAGATTCGTGAAGATATTTCTGTAAAAGACAAATGCGTTAATAATAACAGTGGTAATTAAAAATCTGATGTAAATAAATTTATAGAATGTGAACTTACAGGTCTTTCCTTAGGTATTTTTCCTTCTGCTTCTAATTTAGCTCTAGCTTGACGTCGCTTTAATATACGCCTATACTGTTTGGCATTTACATACAGAGGTTCTTCTTCGAAGACTTCAGCATTAGGTAGTGCTACCCTCTGGAATTGTGTCTGCCCACTATTTCCTGGTACCATCTAAATATCAATAATTAAAAAGAATACATTAGCAAATATTTTAACTAAAACTTAAAATCTTGTTAAATTCATCAGTTTAACTTGTACTAACTACCTAAATTAAAAAAAAAAATATTAAAATGCGAAAGACATTGCAATGTCATTAATGTTGCTCCATAATCACTACAAGTCAGTATAATAGATGTACACAGACTATGTAAGTGAAAGAGGCACTTTAACAGTAATCACCATGACAACATTTCCTGCCTGAGTTGCTGTTGCTGTAGGACTTGCTAAAGGTTGCACCGGTGTTGTAGTTGCAGCAGTGGTTGTTGTTTGCGACGTTGTACCAGCAATTTGCATAAGGTTCCCATTGATATTAATTACTGTGTAATAATATCAAATTAAAATACCAGCCTTCTAATTAAATTAATTAAAGCACAATTATTTTTAATACCTGTGGGTTGTGCCTGCTGAACTTGACCCTCTAACTGAACTGGCTGATAAATGTACGTTTGTCCATCAGGAGTCTGAATGATTTGTGGCGTTTGTGGCTGCTGAATTACAATCTGTTGTCCTGTACTAGTTAAACTTGATACAGGAACTACTTGTATTTGTCCATTCGGAGCTGCAACTTGAATGGCTTGTGGTAACATCATGGCCTGTCCTCCCTGTCCCATTTGAACAACTTGAACAGTTCCACCGGCACCACCAACCATAACTGCCTGACCTTCCCCCAATTGTTCCATCGTAATTTTTTCCTATTACTAAACAGAAGACATTGACTTTACAACAAAAGGAATATAACAAAACCTAAGTTCACAGAAAAGTATAGACTTTCTAACAGAAAATTTCATGTGTGTGCCAAAGATGACATTCTATACTTATGCACTTATACAAGGATAAGAGTATGCGTGTGAAAACATTGTATATATGTTGTATGATTCATGTAAAAACGGTAGTACTGGTATGGAGCATGAAAATAAATAAATGTAACGCATCTGTACATGAACTCGAAAGGTTAGAGTCTGCTAGGAAAGTTCGATTTTATTAGGCGCAATTCGCGCGTTGCAATCATTGATAAAGATCGCCAACGTGGCGAGAACATTGAGGTCTGAGAGCCCACGTGCAGAACGTTAGATACGTAGGACAGAGAATCGAGGCCAGGCAGCAATCGTCACCTTCTATCGGCCAGAAATCGCTCCCAAAGGATGTTGCATCCTGTTCTCGGCGACATGATTAACCTCATGTATTCGTGATTCTGAACACGCGTCAAATACGGGCATACGATACAGAGAGCAGGTCCACTGGATAGCACACGGGGCGCGATATCGTCGCGATGAAACGACGCAAATTTCGGGCGAGAAACGCTTGTCTCGGCAAACATGGCCGTGCAGAAAGACTTTTTCAATATCGAGAAGGCACGATTTCGCACTTGAAACAGTTCACGGAATGAAAACACGGTTAATCGTATAACTGTGCGCGGTCGTACGCGTACCCCGTTGATGTTTGATAATTTGTGGACTTACATTGGATATTTTCGTGGGCACTTTCCCAATGATTGGTCGGCAAATTGAGGACCAATGGTCGGCGATAGAGAGTCCTCGGCTCTTGTGTATTGGTGGCACTGAACGGGGGGACCTGCCAGTCCGATAGCAGCCCGATGCCAGACCGGTCGATGCCCCTCCGCGCCTCGACACGCCTAACCAATCTACTGGCTCGACTTATCCCCACCACACACTTCCCGCGCTCTCCTCAAACTTCGCGCGTTTCTAACTGCTTATTTCCCGCTTCCTTTTAAATCAATTCATCGATCTATAACGATCAAGGATCATTCTCACCGTATCTGGCTCATTATTTGCGTATTAAATGCGCCGACAATCGATGCCACGAGTAAACAACAACGTCATGAACTCCTCAAACCTTCAATATCCTGGCGAATATTTCAGGACTCTCAACACTTATAGACATTGAAATATTTGACAATATTTTAGAATTTGGAATTTAGAAATTTCAATTCAGCTTTATTATTGAATACATCTGTTATTTTTTATCTACATTTGATCTGAAAATTTGGTGATTTCAGCATGTAGAAATTAGCAGATGTATGTGTTTGAAATTTGGAACTTTGGAAATTGAGGAATATTAGAATTTGATGATTTGAAGAATTAGGGTTTGGAAATGTGGAAATTGACTGTGCATGCACAGTGAAACAATCTATTTTAGCTGGGACTTAAAATTTATCAGCAGATAATCTCACTTAGAAAATATCATGATTAAGATAACAATTAGTAAAATTGTGACAAATTATATAAATTATATAATAGCATTTCTTATAAGATGATATTCTGTGCAATATGATTATAACAAATGCAGTTTACATTTTTTTAACGATAATTTATTGCCAAATGTAATATCATTTAATGAAACTTCCATATTCACAAAATGGTATTATAGGTTTATGAATTTTTGTTTACCATATTTTATATAAATGAATAAGGGGTGGAAGTGAAGTAACAACTATCACATTTTTAGAAAAATATTAAATTAATAGATTTTGATAAACATAAAATATATATAAGAATGTTGACAATTATCAAACAATACAACATTAATAATAGAAACAATTCATACAAATATCACTGATGTATATCTGAATAATTGAAAATTTGTGTTTACCTTTGATATTACAAAAGCACTTTTTTTGTAATATAAACATGGCATTGACAAAAATGTGCATAGTAATTAATACATAGTAAAAAAATATCTTGAATGCTCCTGAACCCTGATTGTTTATTATTTTTTATTTATTTATTAAAATGTACTGTAGGTTCAACGCTTTATTAGAAATTGTTAGAAATTTTTTGACAGTTGCAGTAGAAAACTAAAAAATTTATTATTAGTTCAATAAAGTAATTTTGCAATTTATGCATGAAAAAAATTATAAAGCTGTGTGACAATTGTATTTATTAAACTATGTCAAAATAGCCTTTTATATTATTTGTATTACTCGTTTTCCAGTATACACCTTAGTGAAATTTAATAACAGTGAAATAACTTTTTACAGTATTGTGTATAAATTACAGGAAAGCACTACCAAAGTCAGTTCTTTTGTTAGAAACTGGTCTTTTGAAAATATCTTAAATCTTACCATTTCAAAACAATCTTATAGTATTATTTAGACATTGTCAGGACATTAATATATAGTTATTAAGAAATAGGGCCTGAACTTTCATTTATAATACACTGCATCACAATGCATAATGGATATTTATGTTGATATATTCTGCAATGAATTCAGACCTAATTTATCAAAAATTGATTTTGGTAAGATGCATATGTTTTTGTCATGTAATATAAGGATTTCTCTCAAGCAAGATGCAGTCTTGCTGAGGAAATATTATAAGATCACGATAGGAAGGGGACCACTAAGTCCTCCTTGTGTTCAACTTTTACATCTCCTAATGCTGTCACAGCCTTGTTGAGCATTTCTGTGATCTGTAAATACAATATAAATTATTATACATGCAACAAGTTATAAAAGTCCAAAAAATAAAAATTAAATATGTATTTACCAGCCCATGATCCCCAGCAGAAAGAGGATCAGCAGCTAATACTTTTTCTGGAGCAGGAATATCTTTAAGTAGGCAAGATGTGCTATCAGGGACTTTAATACCTCCAGCCTCTATACGTTTAGAATATGCACGCGATCTATCCATATATTCATGTTGTTCCAAATTATGTGAATCTAATGCTGCAACATCTATCACATTACTAAAACCAAAAATTTCATTGAAACAAATCATGCTATTCTGTAATACATATAATCAAAACAGATATGAAATTGATCTATAACTTAAAAAGACAAAGGAACACTCACGCAGCTGTTTCATGTAAAATTCTATTTAATGCACTTTGTTCATCTGTTTTTTTAGGTGCTGAACTTGCATACTGGTTAACATAATCATCACTAAAAGAGAAAGAAGCAACGAATGAGCAAATTCTAGTCCATATTATAATAAAAAATGTATACAGAACATACCTGTGTACTCTAGGTATATTTGTATTATTACTAACAGGATCTACCAACAAATGTGTCCTTTCATTTACTTCCCCACTCTACAAAAATAAAAAATAATTCAAAAATTTCAATAAATATTTGAATTATTTTAAACAAAAGATACAATGCAATATATATATGTATGTATACATATATGTTTTACTTTTTATCACTATGACCTATTCACAAATACTGAATCCTTAACACAGTCATATGACTCAACCGGGCATAATTATGATAAATATTTACACACTGTAATAGAATATCTAAGTGTGATATGTAACAGATAAGTCAAAGTAGAAAATCATTTACTACGAATAAAATAATTTCTTATTACCTGCGGACCGCTGTCTTCTTTACAAAAACTGTAACAACATCCCATACTTATAAACGGATTGATAAAATTCTTTCGCCAGTCACACGTAACTATTACTGAAACGTATTATTTGTTATCCTCATTCCTGTAAACAATCAAGTGAATCAGCTGTAAATGTACCGACAATGCGTTTCAACCAATATCCATAAATAAAATATAACTCCGAAGTGTAACAACCTTTTGAAACAAGATACGAAAACTGCAAATTATTTGTTCCAGGAAAGATCATACTTCTCAAACGACGAATTTTCCGTCATTCTGCGCATACGAGCACTGTATAGTTTAATAGGCACAGTTAACGCGCAAGCGTGCTTACGAAGATGGTAACATTTTCCTTATATATCCGATGATTTATTAATTATTAGGAATACTCTTACGGGAGTTTATCCCTTATTTTTCCTATTCGTACTTTTCTGTCCACCGTGTATATAACCACGAAGCGTGAAACAATTGAAAAGAGGAGCATCACACTAGTGCTGAGGAATCGTCTGAACATAGTCGATTTGCGCGAAATGAGTATGATCTGCCACGGAACAGATAAGTATTTATTTAAGCATACACAACGCCTCTGGTGGAATTTTAAGCACACTAAAGTACTTGGATAACATAACCTCAAGGATTCATGAGATAAAAAGTGCTTATACAATTTATATATTGTACTATTTATTATTCATATAAGTTGATACAGAAGTAAAAGTGTTTTATGACATAGTGAGATAAACGGAAAGAGGAAAATGATTTCTCGAATAACTACATAACATATATTATTAATTTTTGATTTATACTTGAAATAGGTGTTGTTATAGTATTGTACATTTTATTAAAGATTTATTATAACTGAGGAATATTCAGTACAATTTTAATTTTGTTAATAGAAAAAGTTATTAATTTTTACTACATCATGTCAGCTACAAAGGTAAATTCTTTCTTAAATTCTTCAATTAAATCATGAATAATTAATAGATTGTATGATTAAATTGGATAGAATTATTAACATACAATTTCATTTCCAGGAAGTGCCGGAACTACAAATCTTCAAAACAGTATTATTTCATTGTGTAGTAATAATAGCCTTACCTGTATTGTCTTTCTTTACTAGCAAAATTTTTATTTTTGATGGTATGGAAGCAAATTATAATATTTAATTATTTACAAAAGTTATATTTCTATCAGTGATATCAAGTATTTGATAAATTATAATCATTTAAGGAGAATATTAAAAGCACAAAATAGTTCACATATATATTTATATAAATATTACTGCTATATAACTTTTCTACTTATTTAGTTTCATTCTACTTTTGTTTTTAATCTAGCAACCAGTGGTTGATAATTTTTATATACATTAACAATATAATACTTAATAAGCTGGAATGTGATACGATCAATTAGTTAGCAGTATATCACATACTTCTGATTGGTTATCAATAGTTATATTTTATATTAAAATATATGTAAATTATCAATTATAATTTTAACAACATGAGATTTTAAATTAAAGTGAGTTTCTATACATTTTAGGTTTATTGGGCCTTAATAATGTACCAAGCAACGTATATTCGGCTGGAGTTGCAATTTTAGTGTTACATGTGGCTCTGGGAGCATTTATATACCGTGCATACTTCGATGATCAATCGAAGATACAAACTAAGCGAGATTAAACATTTCTTTTACATGTGTATGCAATTAAGTACATATTCTTGATAACACATTTATTCGTGTATACTCATCAGATGGAGGATGTTACATTGTATTGTGTTACATTCTGCAATTCACATATTTCTTGGTCAAAGTTTTAGGTAATATTTTTTTATTGAATACTGTAAACTATGTAAATGGCAAATATATCTGTACTTGTATCAATCAATGAAACATAATCGCTAAATAAAAAGCAATAACATTCCCACACAAGACTTGCATATTGTACAGCACAAACTTTGCAATATAGATACATCTATATGGAATAGGATTCCATTACATATCTTCTGTTCAAAAAACTTTTGCAGCAGATTATTTCATAGTTTATAGCGTAGCTTGCAATAGTTCATAGTACCTTTATGTATCATATCAGATCCATAAATTAATTATAGTGCACTTTATGATCACAGTACTAGAATTATTAGGGGCGAATCTGTAAGATTTGGAGTTTTTATATGGTTCTTTAATAAAATATGAGGAAAGAAATTTTCACACTGAAAGATAAAATAATACAAAAGACTTACAAAACTCGATATAAATTCGCCCCTAATAACAGTAAATAGCAGCACGTACTTCTTCCACTTTGATGTGGAATAAATAACAAATTAATTATGACTAATATACAAAGCGATACTATCGTTGTTTTTTTTAGTACCAGTAAGAAACAACATTCTACAAAAATTATAAGAACTTAGAAAAAAAAGATTTCTTAGTGTTGATGAAATTATATTCAAATGAAAATAATTCAAAGAGAATATACTTTACCTTCAGGAAAAAACTATGAATCATACGTAATAAATTTAATTATAATATGATTCGTAGAAATTCACGTCATCAAAACTTGATAATGTGAAAATGCAATATAAAATGTAAATAATTTAATTTAATAACTTTTCCTAAAGATATCACTACCACCAATGTAAAACAAATCCTAGAACAAACTTAATAAATTTTATTAATGAAATATTAATTTATTTAAGTATCGTAAATGCAACAAAAGTTTGTGTCACGGAATAGTTTGTTGTCGGCCTGGGGAAATGTTGGAATGAATGCTTACTGTATTAAATACATAAAATCGCCAGCGATATTAACTACTTCACAATTTAATTTAGTCATTAGTTCTAACTTAGTATTTGTCCTACATATTAAGAATCATAATGTATTAAATCTTTTTACTGGCAATGAAGTCAGGGAACAAACTCTTCACAGTATTCCACTGATAGAAATTTTGTTAACAGTTTTCTTCCTAAGAGTATATTAAAGATTGAAGAATTTTTTCATTCCTAGTACTTCCGTATTTTCTTTAAATAGATGTACATTTACAAATATGTTTTTCATCTAACTAGCTATTCTTCATAGAAAAGCAAAGTACAAAATTTGTGTATTTTCTACAAATTGCAACTTAATCAATTTTATAGCATGGATTTTTAACTACATGTTAGTTGTAAAATTAAATATTAAGCTAATCATTATTTGTATAAATGAAATACTGTTTAATAAATTAACATTAATTGTATATATGCATTTTGGTTATAATTAAAAAAAAATTCTCCAAATTTCAATATACTTCATTGTGGTACATTTGTCTTAAATAGGTCAACTTATCACATCCATAACTATTATAGGAAAAGAAAAAGAAACATGTGCTAACTACACAACGTATCAGGCGCTTTTGTGACATGATAAAAATGACTTGTACGATGAAATAATTTCCGTTATTTTAATAATGATAGCTTCAATATTATTAAAACACATAAAATAGGGTTACTGTTACTCAACATCCATTTTTTCTTCTTGAGGTTGCTGTTGTTGATTAGTTTGAGCATGACCATCACCTTGACTATTTTGATTATTTTTTTGTTGATCTTCGGCTGCTTTATCTTTAGGTTTTTCTTCTTTTGGAGGTTCTACTTTAGGTTTTGGTTTATTTAAGATTGGTAATACAATACTATCCAGTGACTGTGGAACACGGATAAAGTACATGAATGAGGATTCATGAAAGAACCTATAAATCATAGAGTGTATAAATACGATGATATAAATACCTGTTTCTCTGCACGTATTTGTGCGACAGTAACCGGTGGTTGTTGTGTGCGAGGTGTACCGGCAAGAAGTACGCGTTTCTCATCAAGCCACGCCCATTTTTCCTGTACAGTTTTTTCAACCTTTTTCACTTCCTCTTCTGTTAAGTGTGAATACTTATTGTCTTTTCCACTGGATGCCCTAATGAGATCTACACCCTTCTTAACAAGCTGTAATGCTCCTGCTAAATCTTCCAATGCATGATTTCTACCCTCAAATTCCATTCGCCTTTCTTTAATTGGTTCACCTTGTGCCTAATGTGCATTATGGAGATTTTAAATGATTTTGCTGTTTAGGATAAAATACTTAACTTTTAATAATTATATCTACACTTACTTTAAGGCATGTTAGTCGTTCTGAATAAACTTGTCGTTGACAATCTTCACCTTCTTCATAAAGCCAATTTTCAGTGTCATCTAATGCGCGGCAAAGTATTTCTTTATCTGCCTCTGTAATAAACGTGGCTAACTGATCTTCTTCCGATAACTTAGCACGCAAGTCATAAACATATTCTTCTAATGCATTGCGAGCATCGATGCGTTCCTTTTCCTGCCTATCTCCAGCAATCATCTTACACTAAATAATAAAAAGTAGATTAAATCGCAATTAAAAAATGGTATATGTGCTATAATAAGTACATACCTCTTTTTCTAATGCTGCATCCAAATCACGTTGATTAAGTCCAAATCCGTGCATTTCCACTGGCAGTTCAATATTTCGAACAGGAATTTTCTTTTTACCTTTATTTTCGTCTTTATCGTCGCCCTGAAAAGGAATATCATATTAATATGAAATACTTTAATTATAGTTTATTCACGAGAAAATTTTTCAACAGAAAGTTCTTTTTCATACGAACATTTTTGATATAAAACATTTAAAATACGTTTTATGTTATTTCTTCATTTCGTAGTTTAAATACATTTGTTTAAAAAACTTTCTATTTAAAATTATAATTTAACTTACTTTATACAAAATAAACATGGCATTATCACGATCAAATTAAAATGAATACTTTAAAATAGGATACACATAAATTGGAAGTCAGGTGATGACAAAAATGAGCAGAGGACAAAGAGGGGCATCATACCTTTATGCGAACAGTTTTCAATTCGTGATACTTTAAATTGTATAGTTTCACGAAGCAGACTAAAATGCATCATACAAGTAAAATTATGACAATAAATTACAACACGAATTGAAAGCCGAACCGCATTGCCTGCCTTCACAATTTTAATGTACTGATAGTTACTACATTATGAAAAATTACTGTCTCTTTTCCTTCTGCGACCCAGTGAAAAGAATAACAGAGCAAAGACAGACAGCACGGCGTGACACAGCTGTATCTTGGACCCATATGCATGAAAACACTTTATTATATAATTATATTATGCATATGTCTATGTTCATAAATGTACTAATATACTAATTTTTATCTCGTTAACTGTATTCATAATGGTACTACAATTAACCGAGTTTGCAGAAGAAATCGACACAGGTTTAAAAATCCTAAATATTAATAAACATCATGCAATAAACTACAAGAAACGATAAATTTCTATAATTCATGAAGAAGTGATATGTTCATTTATTTTGAATAGTTTATGAAAACAGTTGACACTTTCAACGACTAAAAATGAGAAGCCCTGACATCTTAAACTGTAACATAAATTTGATTCTAATTTGATCCTTTTGGTATCATACATTTGTATGATTTAAATTGAAGTCTTGTATTAAAAAGCAATTATAAACATAAATTTTGTTCGATGCTTAAATTATTACTTCATGCAGGGTACTTAAATCTGATGACTGAGATGACCATATAATACCTAACTAATGATGCTGATTGTGATGAAAGAAATAAAAAATCTATGACACCTTCGAACACGAAAAGCTATTCATGTAGCCATTATGAATTATAACAATACCACAGTTTAAGCAAAAGTTAGAAATTATTGCTGTTTCAGTTAACATATGGGTCCAAGTAATGATAGTGTGTCGCGTACCGAGCTGAACCAAGAGAGAATCCTGGAGGAGTAAGAAGGGGCAGAACCCCTCGCACCTCTTCCACCATCATCAGCATCTGAGTTCCGACGTGTTTTATCCATGCTCACCTAAACCACAACAAACTCACGTAATCATGCATCAGACACTCAAAAACATGAGTACTGTATTACTATAAAAGGTTACTTCCTATGCAGAATGAACGTGATGACTTAATATGTCTTTCTACCCAATGCAATCATTAATCAAAATGTTGGATATGCTTTAAATGAGTAGTCTAGTCAATCTTAATGAAAGTAATTATTAACCAAATGAATATAATTTTGCAAGTATATTAAATACAAAGATTGTTATTAACATATATGCCAGTTAGACACAATTAACATATACATATGACCCAATTTTGATAAAAAGCAAAATGAGCTTATGAAAATACATACCTCAGGCGCGGGTGGCTCATTTGCCTGTGCTTCCTGATCAGGTTTATCTTTTTTCTCTGGCTGATCAACGTCCATATTATTTTGTTGTTGCTGCTGCTGTTGCAGTTTTTCTTCTTCCTCCTTTTCTTGTTGTGTGAGTTCGCGTTTTTCAACAAGCGACGCCGAAGCAATAGTGAGGATACCGTTTAAGTTTATTCTTACTTTTATTTTTACTTTTGACGACTCTCCTTCTTGTGTTGGTTTTACGTTTTTTATTACGAATACACCTGCAAAACATGGCAATTATAGAAATATGTACTATGAATTATTAAAACAAAATTCAATACATACCAATGTGTGATTGGGGATAAGATGCCGGTGGCATTGTGTAACTAGCAGTTAGCGTAAATGGACTCGATCGATAAAATGTTAACATCTTTGAAAACGGTACGGGATGATTATGCCCAAAGACTTCCATCTCTCTGAAATAATAAAAAATATGGAATTAAAAAAAATACTATCATTACATAAATGCAACTACATATTTATATGAAATGTTTGAACATACCCTTCTTCACCTTGAGTAGCATCCCAGGTTAATTTCACCGGATATGGTTGAATATCAGTTACTGAAAAGTCTCGGACTCTTACAGCAGGACTCAACATTGCACATTGAAGTGCACATCCCCGGGAAACAGCTTCATCTTGATTTAATGTTGTAGATACAGGACGACCAAAAACTTCCTCAACTAATCGTTTAATAGCAGGAACGCGACTAGAACCTCCCGCTAATTCCACGGAATGAATGTCATCTAATTTTAGTTCTGTAAATAATATCGTGAATTAGCATAAAGTTGAAAGAAAGTATACATTATAAAAAAAAATAACACGTAGTTAAACATGATATTTACTAGAGTCCTCGAGACATTGACGTAAAGCTGTTTCCACGCGTTTAAATAAATGTGCGCACATCGCTTCCATATCCGCTCGTTTCATTTCACCATGTACATCTTTCTCATCCATAAAACATTCGATATTAAGAGGAAGTGTCGTGGAATTGGCCGACATTTGTTTCTTCAGTTTTTCAACTTCTGTTAATAATCTTAGATATGCACGGGGATTTGTGCGTGGATCAATATTATAACGTGACTGAAAGTCTTTACAGAAATATTCTGCTAATATAGAATCTATGTCCCTTCCACCTAATTGACTGTCAGCACTACTTGCTAACATCTAAAAATAATAATTGCATATTTTATATAGTTGTGATCATGTAATTTTACATTACACACTTAATATTCACACAGAATTATTACTTACTTTTAATTTTCCTTTGTGGAATGTACAAATGCATACTTGTAAGCTAGCATATCCACAATCAACAAAAACGACATTTCTTGGGGGTGCATCAGGTGATGGTAAATCTTGTTTATAGATACCATAGCACAAAGCAGTAGCTGTTGTTTCATTGAATAATCTAAGAACATTTAAACCTGCTATTCGTGCAGCATCAAGCAATGCTTGCCGTTCAGCTTGTGTATAATATGAAGGAACAGAAATGACACAATCATTAACAATAGTTTGTAAAGCTGTTTCAGATATATCTTTTAATTTTGTAAATAACATTGCAGTTATTTGTTCGGGTGAAAAAATGTGTTCCTCTCCCAAGTACTGTACCTAAAATTTAAAAAAAAATATGAACATATTATTTATTTTTTACAATTTCTATTATCGTCACTTATATGTTTTTCGATGTACAGTTTATAAACAAATGTGATACATCAAGTTTTAACTGTATCAAAGAGATATAAATAAGATATGAGTCCCCACAAATATGAGAAACTTGGCAGAATGCCAGAATTAAATCTAAGTATTATTACAAAGTTAGAATAATTAATAATTTCTATCACTTTAACATTCCAGAAACTTTATAATTGTTCACAGTATTTTTTAAAGATAATAATACTACATTTGTTATTTGTTAATTTATGTTTAAAACATGCACTGAAAAAGAATGACTTATTTGCTAGATACATACATGTATACCAATATTTCCATCTGCCTGCTGAGTTACCTTAAAAGGTAACATCTTAATCTCACGTTGTACTTGTGGGTCATTATACTTTCTACCTAATAATCTTTTGAATCCATAAATAGTATTTTTCATATTGGTTACCATTTGATTTTTAGCAGCTACACCAAGAATTCGATTCTTTCCACTGAATGCTACGCATGATCTAAAATTGGTAATAGTTTTAATTAATTCAAATATGAATAAAAAATCTTACATAAAAATTTGAAAATCATATCCATTCAACACATACAAAAGACCTATATAAATACATGTAAATATTGTTTGAAATACAATTTAATTACAAAGCAACAATTTTTCAATAACAAAGTACATATTATAAAATATGTATCACATCACACAATGAAATAACTGATAAGTTTAGTAAAAAATGTCCAAGAAAATATTCAAGGTTACAGATGTACAAAGAACTAATACATAAATTATTTATATTTAAGTTGTATATTTTATTATTTTACATATAAAAGAACTACTTCAATTCAAATTTGACATTTGCAAATACAAATATAGATATATAAAAGTGACTAATGTTTCAAATTTTAATAAGTGACAATCGAAAATATTAAAATATCTTATAATTTATAACTTTTTAGTATTTTTATCTTTACATTACAGATATTCTACTATGATTAAATGAAAAGTAGTCGCGAAACGTAATTAGGTCGATTATACTACTGACATAAAATCACATGTATTACAAAGCAATAAATCTCAGATAATACTTTTCATTTAAACACGCAATATTTCCTGTAGTTTTTGATACGTAAATTAGAATAGCAGTACGCACATTATACACTAATTCTAATTGTAAATTAACTACGGATCCCGTCTCATGTGTATACATCAAATTTTAAATAAAGCAGAAAAAAATAACTCGCACATCGCTGATACGTTATGGACTTTTTTGTACTTCTTAGTCATGTGAAAGTAAATGCGACACCCAAATAGACAAAACGGTATGGACATAAATGGCAGTAATAAAATAACCCTTCTAGAATTTTGCGCGTAATTTATACAATGATCTACGTATCACATTTTCATTGTTTTTTACATATACAGGTAAATATTTGCGAAAAAAATCGTAAAGAGAAGGAAGACCATAGGAAGGCCGGTGCACACCGGTATCATCTAAACACGAGATAACAATTAAGCAACGATTATCAGAATAAAAAATACTTACGGTGTGCTTCGAAGGCTGTAATCGTTAGCTATGGTTTCAATACCTCCCGCTCGTGCTACAGCTACATAACAGCTCTCATTGCCGAAGTCAATTCCGATCACGGACATAGCAGCCATGGCTGATAGTTAGTTTAATAATGTTTTCTTTACAACACTAAGTAAATTATGAAGCTTTGTTCGTAGATTTGTTGTTGGTTTTTAAAAAGGATGCGTAAGCAAATTGTTAATCGTTTAGAACTTGTGTTGATAATTAACGTGAACGTTGGATTCACGACCTCGTTAAATATTCACCTCTTCACTCACGTAATAGACTGAACGAAATGCCTCCGCACGGTAACTGCGATTACTTCTTTCTGCTAACTTCTGCTGAAAACTCACCAATCATGGCGCTGCAGTATATACCTCCCATTGGTCAATCGGTTTCTCTGGAACATTCTGGAATTATGCGCCATTGGAGTCTTCTCTGGTCAATGCCAGTTTCGTTTCCAGAAGAATCGAAAAGTACATGATCAATACACGGCATATTTTGCTATATAAAATTTTCATATCTCTAAATCAAAGTTCAAACATAAACATACTCCATTATATTTTATTTCATTTTTTTTTGAGTACCCCTTCTTAAACATTTTGAATTTATACGTATTGCGCACTCGTATGATTGGTTTTCGTATCAATATGTCCGACACGTAAGTAATTTTGAATGGGTACTGCTGCACACGAGAATTTATTCATTTAATTTTTAAGATAGATTTTTTATCGTTGCATTTCTAAGAAAAATAAAACTAATAGAAACTATACAAAAAATTTTAATAAGTATTTTTACTTGTATGAATGATATATTTTTTAGTTACAAGATTATATTAAATTTTTATTAAATGATCAATATTAATTGTATTGATGTATAATATAATTCTTTCAAATTTCTATGTATGACTGTATACGTATGCGTTTTTTAATGTCAATTTCCGGTACAGTAGCCACACATAATCATTTACCAACATGCAACAATATGTACAGTTGGTGTAATCAGTTTGGTATGTTTCAGAATGTTCACAAAAATTAAAAACGTAAACAGAACGTAAATTATATCATTGTGTGTGACTGAAATGACTATTGGCAATTATTCAATAAATGTCTGTATTAATACGTCAGTGAGGAAATATAACCATACAAGATAAAATCATATGGTTTAAAAATACAAGTGTTTGTAAGATTTGTATAAAATGTCGCGCTTGTGTAATTCACGATTTTCTTCATATATAAAAGGAACAAAACACCCACCAATATTTCCATACAATTCCAGTTGTAGAAAAAATAGTGATATTAAAAATGTACTTTATCAATACAGTGAAGGTTATATACAATTCTGTTGGAAACTTCAAAGACATATTTATCCATTGTACAGATTTTTGGATATGCTCATGTCAAAACAAGTTCGTTCTTTATTAACAAAGACAAAGACAGTATTAAACAAATATGACATTAATCGTGGTATGAAACATTGTAGAAATTTAGGAATTGTATCAAGTGGGTTTGGTATATCTATAGCACTATGTGAAGCCTCAAATTTTCACAAAGGTATGTATGTTCTATGTTGTTACATAAAAATTTATAATAATAATAATTTAAACTGGAATAATTATTTTTGACAAATGTTTTTCACAGAAAAAGAGTTTTTTCAAGCTGCTAAGTATGGTGATATTAAGAAACTAAAAGCTGTAAGTATAATAAACTTATTATATGTATATAATAATAATAATTAACAACATGTTTGTTATAGATTTTAAAATCTGGAATTGATGTAAATGTACGACATCCCTTAGGTTGGACAGCATTACATGTTGCTGCCATTAATTTTCAACCAAAAGTTGTTAAACTTTTGATAGAACATGGTGCTGATGTTAATGCGCAAGATGAATTCATTAATGTATATGCAACTGCTATAGAAAAAGGATTACAAATTTTAGATGGTACAAGACAATTACATCATAAGAATTTACGCTTGTATGCTATATACAGTGTCTCAGTATTACTGATATAACCAAGAAAGTGATCACACATGAACAAATAATTATGATACAATCATTTGTTATTAACAGTATCTTAAATAGTACTGACCAATAACAGGTTTTAATGACATTAATTACATTTATTAATTTATATCAATATTAGATTAATTAAAGGATTTCTCCTTAACCTACACAAATTTTCTTCATAAATATTTGAAAAATCTGTAAATCAAATTTTTTTTTAAACGAAGCTAGGATTAAGAAAAATGTTCTAGATCGTCGATTTATTTTTGCACATAGAATCTCGGTTGTACCAAATATACTGGGTCACATGTAACTATATAATGATTTTGAAGACTATGTAATCTCTTATATAAGTATAAAGTTGAACGATTTGTTCTAGTTTTCGCTTTCAATTTTCAGTGCTTTCAACAAGGGAACAAGAATTTTCTGATTATTTGAATAGTAGAGCTACTTTCAAAGGTTTTACACCATTACACTACGCGGTATTAGTAAATTCGAAAGATTGTGCAGTAGAATTAATGAACGCTGCGGCTGATCCAACTATAAAAGCCGAATCAGGTCATGGTCCGATTGAATATGCCGAAAATGGGGAGCTCAAAGAGATACTTACAAAATATAGTATAAAATATGACAATATAAAAAAGGAAAAAGTACATATGTTTAAAATCAAGCTTTGACTTTTATAACACTATATTTGATCTACATTTTTATCAAATATTGTAAACAGGAAATGGAAGAACGTCGTAAATTTCCGTTAGAACAACGTTTAAAAAAATATATAGTTGGACAAGACGGGGCGATATCTATTGTTGCATCCAGTAAGATGTGTTTCATGGAATGGACAATTGATACAGAATAAACATACATGTACATACTCTAATGTTTTAACATGCTTGCAGCTATCAGGAGGAAAGAAAATGGGTGGATAGACGAAAAACATCCGCTTGTGTTCCTGTTTTTAGGTTCATCTGGAATTGGAAAGACTGAATTAGCTAAACAATTAGCTGCATATATTCATAAAAATAAGCCAGAGGGATTTATTCGTTTGGATATGTCCGAATATCAAGAAAAACATGAAGTTGCTAAATTGATCGGGGCACCTCCCGGGTATACATTACATTCGTTTATCTTACGTAACATTATTTTAGTCGATTTTCTTGGATAAGGTACGACATTATTTTATTTGATTTCATTGATTAGGTACGTAGGTCATGACGATGGTGGCCAATTAACGAAACAACTTAGGAAGTGTCCAAACGCCGTTGTATTATTTGACGAGGTTGATAAGGCTCATCCAGATGTACTGACAGTTTTGCTACAACTTTTTGACGAAGTAGTTACATTTTCCATTTTGTGTATTAGTGTATAATAAGTGAAAGCGTACTAAAATAAATTTGATGCCTTCAGGGAAGATTAACTGACGGTAAAGGCAAAACGATTGAATGTAAAAATGCAATATTTGTAATGACATCAAATTTAGCAAGTGAAGTAATTGCTGAGCACGCAGTACAACTTCGAGAAGAAACTCAACGTGTCTCTGATCAAAAACACGATCAAAGTATGGACATAAACGAAAATTCAGAACACATAGAAATATCTAGAAATTTTAAAGATAAAGTAGTATGTATAAATTACATAATTTTTAGCACATTCATTTTAACACGTTTGAAGAATGGAATTTTTTAAAATAATTATTTTGTAGGTACGACCTATTTTGAAATCACATTTTCGAAGGGACGAATTTTTGGGTAGAATAAATGAAATTGTATATTTTTTACCATTTTCTCAATCCGAGCTTATTAAACTAGTAGCCAAGGAATTGGAAGCTTGGGCAGAGCGTGCAAAGGAAAGGCATAAAATAGAATTAAAATGGAACAGAGAAGTTTTATCCCTTTTGGCAGAGGGATACGATACTCATTATGGTGCTCGTTCTATTAAATACGAAGTGGAAAGACGTGTCGTTAATCAATTAGCTGCTGCCCATGAACGAGGTCAATTGGGTACGTAATTCTTCATTAATATACAATAATATAATTCTACAGATTCTAATAAAATGTTGCATTTTATACAGAGAGGGGATGTTCCGTATTACTTAAAGTCATATGGCAAAAAGGTGGCGCAAGCATAGCACTATCTATACGACGTAAAGATTCGAAAGATTTTGTTGACATTCCGGTCACAGATAATTTAACAAAAAACATGAATTCCGCATTTTAATATCGTCTGCGAATATTGTCTATGTATAACTCTGATGATGTAATACAATTCGACATTACAGTGTGCATAAACAAGTTTGATATGTTTTGTATCATTTATTATAGTAAGTTAAGAACAACGAATGTAAAATATAATTTGTGAAAACTTTAGTATTTGATATGCTATTGTAGTTTTCTGATTTGTAACGAAAGTGTGAATAAAAAATATTTTGTTTTCAGTCTTTATTTTTTCGTGGTACAATAATGGAGACACCCAATCTTCACGGAAATAAGTAATTCTTTATTTGAAATCGAATCACGAGATACATTACAAGAAAATATCGGTTACATGTCACATTTAAGATACATTGTACATTCTTTACGATGCAGTAACACAGACGGACATTCTCGAAACGTTCAGAAGAATCAGTCATGGAAACTGTTTCTCTCTTACCATATCGATCGCTTAGTAACTCCCTAACCGCTTTCTTTTATTTTCAATTACTTTGTACGATAATCGTAACTCGACTACTATCATCCGTGGCCCACACGTTGGGTAATGCGATAAGCGCGAGCTTTTTCCGTGCTTCGCAAGGCAATATTTAGGTCCGACAATACGGTGTCTGTTAACACTTTGACGGTTGCATATTTCATGCACGTGGGATATGATATTTGCAAATTTTACATTTTATGTCTAAAGGGACTTCGTTGATAGGATTGTGTACAGTACTCGCCACGATACCGAGGTTAAATTAAACCTTTGCTGAAGTGAAATCTTTCAGAATTGTATGCTACTTTGGAAATTTGAGAATTTGGAAAGTTAGGTAGTTAGAAATTTAAGGATTTGAAGATTAGGAAACTTAGAAATAAAAGTTTCAAATTCTCAAATTATCAAATTCAGGAAATATCCATCAGTGCCCAAAACTCATCGTGGCGAGTACTATACTAGTTATTGTAATATACGCCATAAAATGATCAATCTTTAAGTTGTAATTTCAGTAAAACTCCATTTATCTGAATACAATCTTACTGAATTTAATTGTGGATTAAATTGTCGAATTTTACAACTATTGTTAAATATTCTGTTTACAACTGTATAAACTATAAAAGTGAATAACATTTTATTATTCAAAGAAATCGATGTGAAAAGAAAGGGTGGGTGTCTTATTTGAATATTTTAGTTTGAACCATCTTATCTTTCGACATGTTCATTTTTTTAGGTGCTATGCACCATTATAGTAGCTTCATGCTAAATATTATTTTAGGACGAAACGCTATAGGGGCTCCCTTTATCTTATACTGAGGGCTGTTAACCCTTTGACTGCGGATAAAGGGTAAGCCATGAGAACATCCGAGTGTCTCCAAAATTTATAAAAATACAAAGAAAAAGTTTCTTAATAAAAGTTATATGATATAAAACAGATTACAATTTTTTATAACAGAACAAAATTTGATGTACTGTTACTTGTTACATAGTAACTGAATTTTTTTGTTTATGTCAATATACAAATTTTGTTTTGTAAAATACACATTTTGATTATTAAATAAATTATGTTACGTTTATTATGAATGCATTTTATCATTGGTTTGTTTTATTTAATACGAGGTGAACCCCTCAATGCTGCAGCCAAAAGGTTTGTTACTTAATAGTAATTTTTGTACTTCTTTTTATTATCTGCATGTATCTTCTAAATCATTGCTTTACATAGATCGTGTTCGCATCAGGGATAGAAAGAGATAAATAGAGTTCTACTGTACGATATATGTAGTTAGAAAAGCAAGACTCAAAAATAACAAAAAGTTCAGTATAAAAATGACGAATGGTTGCCAAATAGTTGATATAACATTTTCAGTCCAAGATAATCTTGAAAGTTTATGAAAAGTAAAACTACGTCCTCATTCAAGCAACAATGAGAAAATCAGAACCTTGGAAATTTAATAATCTGAAAATGTTTAATTTGGAAATTTTACTTCTTTTCACAAAAATTTCTCCGTCGTTGCCTCAGCGAGGACACAGTCGACAGGAGCAAATACGTTGTCAAAGTTTCTTAAATTTTATTCGTGCGAATGCAGAAACACGAAATTCACGTAGTCGTTACATACCGTGAGTTAATACAAGAGTCATTACAATTATTACAGTTACGTTGAAATGTTTTGAAAGCGTGTTTTAGAGTTACACACGCAAGATGATTGTTTTATTACGAAGGTATACATATAAGAACATCTTTATATAGTATAATATGTATGTTTACACATACGTGTACGTATAACATATACGTTCTTCTTTTAATACAAACACCACGTACCATTTGCCTGCGATACGTAGAATATAATAGAAATACTGTTAAGTATATTTTAAGCGTACGATTCGAATCACGCTCATATAATTAAGCGTTTCTTCCCAACAACAAACCTTGAATTTTTTCCAACTTGTACGTTTCACGTAGTCACATCATCATGTATAATAATATATATATATATTTATATAATACTTAAAATACTTAACGATGATTAACATTTAATTTTATATCCTCTGTTTCTCCAGGTAACTACATCGCCATCCTTTTCTCTTCCGTTCAACTAATTGTAAGAGATCAGAAATATTAATCGCTGCAATACACATGCGATCCTAAAATATTTATAGTACGGCAGGTTCCTTAATCGAACTCTTAAATTAACAATAAATAGATCTAAGCTCTGGAATATTCAAAATTATTATTAATATGATATGACGAACTTTGGTCGGAAATGTTCACAATTTCATTATTTGATTCTCTTATTCTTCCTGCATGTTTCGCTTGTCCTTCTTTACTTTATCTGCGTCTTAACGTGTAGACGAAAAAGAACCTAACAGATATAATCAGAAAGAAAGGTGGGGAATGTGTACTTTGTCAGTCGCATTTTATCACCTCCGGTTATACTTTGTGCAGTGCGAACACGCATGTGTAGAGTGGCAGGCTTCCCTGGGGAAAATGACGATGTGGAGACTGGAAATTTCGGTTTAATGGAAGGTTTATTAATGGAGAGAGATTTGGGAACTTGAGGTGCGGGGTAGTTTCGAATTTGGGATTTTAGGGATTTGGGATTTTAGGGATTTGGAATTTTAGGAATTGAGGAATTTGGGAATTGGGGAATGTGGGAATTGGGATTTTAGGGATTTGGGATTTTAGGGATTTGGGATTTTAGGGATTTGGGATTTTAGGGATTTGGGATTTTAGGGATTTGGGATTTTAGGGATTTGGGATTTTAGGGATTTGGGATTTTAGGGATTTGGGATTTTAGGGATTTGGGATTTTAGGGATTTGGGATTTTAGGGATTGGGAAATGTGGGATTTGGGGAATGTTGAAATTGGGGAATGTGGGAATTGGGGAATGTGGGAGTTGGAGAATGTGAGAGTTGGGGAATGTGGGAATTGGGAAATTTAGGAATTGGGGAGTGTGGGATTTGGGGAATGTTGGAATTGGGGAGTGTGGGAGTTGGAGAATGTGGGAATTGGGAAATTTGGGAATTGGGGAATGTTGAAATTGGGGAATGTGGGAATTAGGAAATGTGGGAATTGGGCAATGTAGGAATTGGAGAATGTGAGAGTTGGGGAATGTGGGAATTGGGAAATTTAGGAATTGGGGAGTGTGGGATTTGGGGAATGTTGGAATTGGGGAGTGTGGGAGTTGGAGAATGTGGGAATTGGGAAATTTGGGAATTGGGGAATGTTGAAATTGGGGAATGTGGGAATTAGGAAATGTGGGAGTTGGGAAATGTGGGAATTGGGAATTGCAGAAAGTTGGAACTTCAAAAATACGAAACCCTAGAACCTCAAATATCTCAAAATTTACAAATTCAGAAATCCAGAGAAATTCAGAACTTCATACATTTCAACTTCGTAAATTATCAAATTTACAACGTCAACCTTACATTTCCAAATCTTACATTCTTATATTTTAAGAATGCTCAAATTTCTAACATTCTTCTCCACATTTTCACAAACAAGTCTCCTTTAAAAAAACAAGTCTTCCGTAATATTTTTCTGATAATTCGCAATGTCTCAACATCGCCATTTTACTGCCCCTAAGCCTCCATGCCTCCAACTGTGAATAGCACGTACGAACGTTGCTGAATAATTATACGCGATGTTATTTTGCATTTTCTGTTGCTGCTTACGTATAGATAAATAGTTTTACAACGTGAACAACGACAATGCGGTAAAACGTCGTATCTTATCGAAGGGTAACGTTCATTTTAGGCTTTCTGTTTATTGTAAACTGTAATATGCACCTCTGACGCATTAATTGAGGTCTGTTTTGTTGCATAGTACAATACTTAGGCCTAGAAAATACATATGTATAAATATATTCCTTGTTTTCTGTTTTGATTTCAGACTACAATAAAATTCATTGAAATATCAATCAAGTAGAATTAGAAAAGTGTGTTATATTCGAAATTATTATTTCTTGCTCCTTTTACCCGAAAATGTAGGTACAAATGTTTTGTATCAATGTGTTCAATTTTGATTATACGTGGAAACAATTTGATAGTACTCTGCAACATAAAACTTGTGTCGTGTATCAGTGTCGTACTCAGGATATGATCTTTGAGGGGTCCAAGTACGTTTAAAAATATTTTAATACAGTTTTAAATTCATTAGGTCAATTTATTTAAAATTACTTTGTCTTCAGAAAACTTTGAAATTTTAAAAACTTTCTAAAATTGTCTACTAAGTAATTAATTCATTAATTTATTAAATTGTGGACTGACACAATTAAGATGCATAAAAATCTGCAAAATAAATATAAATTATTTTATCCATAGATTATGGATTTCATAGTTAACATAATTTATTTAATTTTGCAGAACTTGCATCATAAATCATAATCTAATTAATAGAAACAATCTGATAATTCATAGAAAGTAAAGAAATAAAAATCCTGATTTAATGAATGAATTTTAATCTTTAATTCAATATGAATTTTGCTCAGGAAAATATTCTATCAATTTTTGTCTTTAAAATTTATTTTAATGTCTTTAATGTTTTTCTGTTTAAAAACTGCCCCCTTGAACCCCTCTCTATGTACGCCACTGCAGTTCATGCTTATCGTTCTTTATACGATTATCCGCTATCACATTTATTTCCTACCACGCGCAGTAAATTATCTTATTGATTGTGCAAGATACATTTAACTTCTGCAGAAAAAGCAATTTGTAGCACAATGTTTTCGCCAGTACAGAGAACATGTGTAGACGCGAATCGGTATAAAAATGTTGCCTTTGCCCGTGAAATATTTGCGGGCCTGGATCAAGGTGGGACGAGGAGCCTTTTTGTGTTTGGGATTTTGGCAATTTGGGTGATTTGGGTATTTTGTGATTTGGAAGTTTGAGAATTTGGGGATTTGGAAATTTGGAAATTTCAGAATTTGGGAATTTTTAAATTTCAGAATTTGGGAATTTGGAAATTTCAGAATTTGGGAATTTGGGAATTTGGAAATTTCAGAATTTGGGAATTTGTAAATTTGTAAATTTCAGAATTTAGGGATTTGGAAATTTGGAAATGTGGGAGTTTGGGAATTTGGAAATTTGGAAATTTTAAAATTTGGGGATTTGGAAATTTTAGAACTTAGAATCTTGAGAAATTAGAAATCCTAAGTTTCAAGATTTCTAATTTTAGAAATTTGCTATTTTTAGAATTTAGGAATCTAGGGATATGTGAATGAGGATATTTAGTAGTATAATGATATGTGGATGAGGATATTTAGAAGTACAATGATATGTAAATAAGAGAATTTAGGAAATGTAAAAATTTATTTATATGGGAATTTAAAAATGTAAGAATTCAACAATTCGACACCATGCCCCAATATCTCAATCCAGACCTGTCAATAGTACCACTGTCGTCTACAGTGCAAGATTTGTTTGCAAACCCAAGTGGTTTCAAGATTCTCTAACTGCAGGTGCGTCCAATTAATCCAATTTTCCAATTTTCCAATTTCCTAATTTCTTAATTTTCTAATTTCCCAATTAGTAAACCTATAACAGTGTTTCAATCAGAATCAAATATTCAATAAAGACGTAAGAAATATTCTCTATCTGACTCTCTGTCTGGCTCTCACGTTTCAAAAATTTCAATCCGAACTATTCCTCAAAAAGCTTGCCTACTTATACCATTTCCCACGATTCTCCTCCTTCAGCTCGCAAACAAACCCTACACAGTTCACTCCATCGGGCAATTCACGTGCACGTCTGCGCTATCTGAAACAAACTTACGGAAAACCTGGTACATCGAAATATTAATAGGTTCGCTACTGATAGATCGATCCTTCCAACTCGCGGATAACGATGTGTGTGTACACGTGTTTGTGTATGTGCATTTTTGCGGTACCTCGTCAGTGGTCATCGAGTACATAGAAGCGGTTTCACATATAACACACTGCTACGTTTGTTTACATATACCACTTCTCGACCGATTATTTATCCTACAAATTTGATTGCGATTCTCGTCCCTGATCCGACTGGCAACGCCTCCATGATATTTTCTCTTACCATTTCTAGCGGAGAATGATTTTAATGCAACGCGTGCCACATGGCGATGGTTTTCCTGGGCGATTGGGTCATGTGAAGCCAGTGCTCTTTTCCTTGGCTGCCGCTTGCTTCCGCTCCTGTGGCGGGACCTACGATGCAGGACCCGACGATCACGTTTCCGCCGATGAACTCGTTGCTTGAATCCATTACGCATACCTTGAAAAGATTGAGACTGTTGAATTATTGGTTTAGGTAAGGAGAGATAGATCTGTGGTGGTAGTCATTGGGTCTACAGGAGAGAAAAGATTTAATTATGGTAATTGATTGTATGTTTCAAACTGACTTTTTAATATCTTAATTTTCCAATTTTCCCATTTCCTAATTTACTAATTTTCCAATTTCCCAATTTCCCAATTTCCCAATTTCCCAATTTCCTAGTTTCCCAATTCTCTAATTCTCCAATTCCTCAATTTTCCAATTCCTCAATTTCCCAATTCTCTAATTCTCCAATTTCTCAATTTTCCAATTTCCCAATTTCCTAGTTTCCCAATTCCATAATTTTCCAATTCCTCAATTTTCCAATTACCTACTTTCCCAATTTCCCACTTTCCCACTTTCCCATTTTCCCAATTTCCCAATTTCCTAATTTCCAAATTTCCTAGTTTCCCAATTCTCTAATTATCCAATTCCTCAATTCTCCAATTTCCCAATTTCCTAATTTTCTAATTTCCCAATTTACCAATTTCCTAGTTTCCCAATTCCCTAATTTTCCAATTCCTCAATTTTCCAATTCCTCAATTTTCCACTTTCCCACTTTCCCACTTTCCCAATTTCCCACTTTCCCATTTTCCCACTTTCCCAATTTCCCAATTTCCAAATTTCCTAGTTTCCCAATTCTCTAATTATCCAATTCCTCAATTCCTCAATTCCTCAATTCCCCAATTTCCCAATTTCCTAATTTTCTAATTTTCTAATTTCCCAATTTCCCAATTCTCTAATTTTCCAATTCCTCAATTTTTTTAATTTCCCAATATCCCAAATTCCCAATTCCGAAATTCCTAATTCCACAAACTTCCATTCCCCAATTCCTAAATCTCCTAATTTTCCCATTTTCCAATTTCCCATTATCCCATTTTTCAATTTCCCAATTTTCCCAAATTCTCCATTTCCCAATTTCCCATAATCCCAATATCTTAACCCCTTGCTGACCAAATTAATTGTGAGATGCGTCAGTCAAAACAAACTATGCATAGCTATAATGTTTAAACAAACAATGAAAATTAAAATGTTGTGAATATTTTATATTTAGCAATCTTTAATAATGTTTAAATTATAGCAATCTTTAAATTATAGCTGGACCTATATTTCAAATTAAGGAGTATTAAAAATGTTAGTAAGATTTGTTACATTTGAGCTATGAGCGCATCACGAGTGAGACTCGTCAGAGTACTGTTAGTTAGTTAATTTCCCCATTTTCCAATTTCTTTACTTTTCCTCAAGCCACTCATAATTACAACAATTTATACAACTCGCAACCACAGCGCCACAGAATTCAATCTCGCAATTTAAGTTTCAAAACAGAAGTATACAAAAGTATACAATGTACTGAAGTTCCAAAAGCAGGATGTATAATAAAGTGAACCAATGCCGTGGATGTATCTTCCGCAAACTATAGAAAGCAGAAACTCATCGATATTCAGTCTCATTCGCCTGCGAAGGTCACGTGTATTTCTCATTTTCCTATATCCGGTGAATTTCTTACATACATGCGATGCCACTCTGCTGTGCTTTGTAAGTATGATTGATATTCCGCGATATTGGTAGACAAATATGTATGCGACTTCGATGTATTTCTTTGACGAATACAGAAGACGATATAAGGTAAATAGCTGATGCTAGCTACTGGTACATAGTTGGTTAGTTTTTAAGCAATGGCCTCCATTTTGTGAGGTGAGAATACGATTATGTATGAAGAAAATTATTTTCAACAGTTATGTATAACATAAGATAAATATGAATCACTGGAGTACATTAATTTTTTCACAGAGAATTAATCAATTTTTTGACCAAAAATTATAATCGTTAATTGGTGCATATTGAACCCTATTTTCCCGCGCTCACCTCAATGGCGGACGACGCAAGAGTGTTGACAGGAACATTAAAGTGCACCGCCTCGTCCCAAACAGGACTGGTCGTCGCTTTTCTTATAGAAGTTTTCTTCCTCTTCACTTTCTTCTCTCCGCAAAAAAGATTTACTTTCACGAAGGAATCTAAAGTTTCTTTCTCCTGCGCAATAAAAACAGCGGTCGATGATTAAAACGTAACATTATAACCCGAACGTAAGACAAAAGAAAGTTGAAAAAGAAAACGATACGAAAGAAATTGTCTATAAAATAAACTTTGCAGAGGTAATGAGTTTTTCATAAATGTATCGTATAAAGTACGTAAGCAGAAAAAAAAACAAAAAAGGTTCCATTTAAAGTGGAACAAAATTAAGTAGAGGAAGGAAGTTTAATTACGAAATTATTTTTTATTAGCAATTTATTTGTTGGACAATTTTGCAAAGAATTTAAAAATAAAATGGACGAAGATTCTGTGCAGAGGTTACTTTGGTAGAATACTAAAATGAAACTTTTCAAGTGACACAATTTTCCAAAACATTTCTTCATTATTGAGAAATAGGGTTCTAAAATGTTTCAATGAGTCGAAGAATTAATAACAGATAAAATAGTGAAGATGCTGTGAGGCTCTGGTAGAATACTAAAATTTGCAGAGAAAAAGGGATCTAAATTATTTCAATAAGTAATGAATAAAAAACAAAATAGTGAATGAAAATGCAGTGCAGATATCATAAGACGATCTTTGGTAGAATACTAAAAAGTGTATCTGCGATTGGTTAAAGCAGTCACACATCAGATTAAAAAATAAATAGAGTTGTTTGAATTAAAATTTCTACTTTGAATTTAAATATCTCGTCTCTACAAATAAAATTCCGATCAAATAACGAGAGGATACCTGTGGTGGAAATAGGTTTCTCGCCTTCTGAATGAGCACCGTTAATTCCTCAGCACTTGGCAAATAAGACAGCGACAGTAAAACTTCTTGAATTTGTTCCGGTGGCTTTCGTTCACGCTCAATATCGCCCCAAACTTCTTCGGTTGATGTAGGGGAGTCCAATTGTAAAAGATGCAATGGCACCTTAACCAAACCGACTATATCGTTTCTCGAAAAGCGATCATGATCGAGAACCTGTGTAACAGTAATTTGTATCATTACTTTGCAATATAATTACACGATAAAATTATAAATTTGCATTTGTAAGTTTGATAACATATTTCAAATTGATAATTGGATAATTATGCAGTAATTACTTGTAGCACTAAAGTCTTGTCCTGAAGTTCGTCGCTGCTGACGGGAAATTTAAATTGCTGATTGAAGAACGGGTTCGGCTCGTTACGATGTATCTGAGTTTGTCGCTTCCTCGAATCCACTTCAGGGCTGAGTGTTAATTTCACGTAAGGGTCGTTAAATCCTCCTTGATCGCTTCCAGCCAAATCGTGAGCCTCGATCAAGTGAACGTGCAAATCCGATCGATCGAAGTCGTATTTGAATCGTAAATGTAGTCGACCCAAGCTTTTGCCGTGTCTAAAATTACATGATAAACGTAATTACTGAAATTATGCTTTATCGGTTCTTTTTAGCGAATTTCACGTAACATGTTACTGCGACGTAGATTCGTGCTTGGTGGAGATTTTGCTTATTGACTTGAGCGTTTATTTTATTTGCTGAAATTTAGGGATTTGGGGTTTTTGGGGTATGGTGTTTTAGGGGTTGGAGATTTAAGGGTTTTGGGATTTTAGGGGGTTGGGATTTCAGGGGTTGGAGATTTTAGGATTTTAGGATTTTGGGATTTTAGGGAGGTGGGATTTTTGGGATTTGGGATTTTAGGAATTGGGAAATTTGGGAGTTGGGGAATGTGGGAATTGGGGAATGTGGGAGTTGGGGATTGTGGGAATTGGAGAATGTGGGAGTTAGGGAATGTGGGAATTGGGGAATGTGGGAGTTGGGGAATGTGGGAATTGGGAAATTTGGGAATTGGGGAATGTGGAAGTTGGGGAATGTGGGAATTGGGGAATGTGGGAGTTGGGGATTGTGGGAATTGGGAAATTTGGGAATTGGGGAACGTGGGAATTGGGGAATGTGGGAATTGGGGAATGTGGGAGTTGGGGAATGTGGGAATTGGGGAATGTAGGAATTGGGAAATTTGGTAATTGGGGAATGTGGGAATTGGAGAATGTGGGAATTGGGGAATGTGGGAGTTGGGAAATGTGGGAATTGGGAAATTTGGGAATTGTAGAATGTGTGAGTTGGGGAATGTGGAAATTATGAAATTTGCGCATTCGCAAATATAGTGATTCGGTAATTTTGGAATTTGAAAACTCGCAAATTCAGAAACTCCAAAATTCCCAAATTCACAACAGAAATACAGAAATACAAATCTCTGTAAACCTAACAACACCAACACACAAAAACTCCCAAATTACAACGCAAACCCCCCAAAATATAAAACTCCACAGGCACGTTAATTCACCAAATTAAGAACACAGTATTAAAACTTGAAACGTGTAAACCGAAAGAGCGCCTCCAAATCCAATAGTCTCCCCCAGTGCCAAGTTATTCAAATGTATTCCCACTGCATTGATTTAAAACTTTATCGCGCTAGAAGGAAAACAGCTACAAGGATATTATTAACGCCTTCATGATAATTTCCTGTTAAAATACAGTGGCAAGTGTGCTTGTACATATAAAAGAGTATAAGTACTGAGTACTGAATAAAGAAGAAACATTATACGAACCCGCGAGCCTTGAGGTAAAGGGGACCATCTCTTCGTTGATAGAGGTCAGGTTGTATGGAACCTAAAGGTGAAGCTGGAGGAGGTGGACCACCATCGCTGTAACGTAAAAATGTATCGCTTTCACGGATCTTGAATTCAATAACTCATCCGGTGTTTTAATTTAATTAATTAATTAACTTCTTGCGATATGATTTACTTGGCAGGTGCGTCAGTCAGAACTAATTAATTGCAGTTACAATTTTAAAATAAAGAAAGAAATTTTATGTCAATTTAGTATTCTGCAATCGTTGACTATGGAAATTATAATTGGACTTGAACTCTAAAGTGGTGTATTAAAAAATTCAACTGAAGGAGTGCGTCATGAGTGCGTCACGAGTATGTCATGAGTGGATTAATTTGTCACGAGTGCGTCATGGGTGCCTCATAGGTGCTTTATGACTTTCCAAACTTCCTAAATCCCCAATTCCTAACTCCCCACTTCCTAACTTCCCAATTCTTAAATACCCAAATTTCCAAAGTTCCAAATTCCTAAAATCCCAACTCCCCAAAATTCAAGCTTCCTAAAATCCCAAATCCCTAAAATCACAAATCTCTAAAATCCCAAATCCCTAAAATCCCAAATCCCTAAAATCCCAAATCCCTAAAATCCCAAATCCCTAAAATCCCAAATCCCTAAAATCCCAAATCCCTAAAATCCCAAATCCCTAAAATCCCAAATCCCTAAAATCCCAAATCCCTAAAATCCCAAATCCCTAAAATCCCAAATCCCTAAAATCCCAACCA